TGGAGTCGGTTCTAGATGGTGGATGGCCACAATGTGTCGGAAAAACTGAAGAAAACCGAAGAGAACAACCAAAATTAGCCCCGGGTCAAAACTGGGTCGCTCAGGTTGGAGGGTGTAACGGGGTCAAGGGTGATCCGGGGCATCCCCTTTCTCTCCTTTCTCCTCTTTTCTCTTTTCTTTAACTGGTCACTCACATCTCCCTCCTTTCTCTCCTTTATTTTCTATCTCCACTGACCATCTCTCCTTTCCTTTAATCTCAGCCACACATTTGGCTTTCCAGATTTTGCTCCAAAATCTAGAGCATTCCAGAAAATAATTAATTGACCATTTTGTCCTCGACTTTGTTCGTGAATAACTCATTCGTTATAACTCCAAATTACGTTCTGTTTGTGCCCACACGTTCGTAGCGACGAGTACTGGATACGCCAAGAAAATAGATCTTATGTGACACGACAAGGTGGTCAAACAAAGTCAACGCATTTGCCTCGAAGGGCATTTTCGTAAATTCATGTTTTAAAATTATAAAAACTATAATTTTTGGAGACGGGTCGTTACATTACCTTATACCACCATTGTTGCCACCACCACCATCAAAACTGTAACTACCACCACTACAATCATGATCACCACCAAAACCACAACCATCACCAACATTGCCACATCATTGTTGTCGACACTGCCATCACCACCACTATAACCACAACCATAACCGCAACTGTCACCACTGTCACCTCTATCACCATATTTACCTCTATGCCCAACCACCACACCCCATTACTGGCACTACCACCATACCCCCACCATAAATGCTACCATCACTTCCATCGCCACTAGCACTGCCCTTGTCACCGCTGTCATTGCCACCACCCCCACTACCATTTTCATATTTGTCATTATATACAATTATATCACTTTCACATTAAAAATATATCAAATACTTTTACTATGCTTTTCATAATCACAACACTTTTAAAAATATAGTTTACCAAACGCTAGTTTTTTTATTTTGCTTCTAATTATTCTTAAAACACAACAAAAACATTTTTTTTCTTAAAAAGCACATCAATATTAAATTGGCCCATATATAAGTTGACATGGCCAACTAAACTAATCCAAAGATGACACCCATACAACTATTACAAATCGGTCCAATTCGTTGGTATTCAAACCAATATAATACTAGATGGACTAAATTTTCAAAACTAAATTTTGTAAACAATATAGCGTGATTGTTGATGATTAAATTATTACTAAGTGTTGATTAACGTGCTTATTTCTTACTGGTGACATATTACATATTTTACAAATTTGATCTAAAAATTGGTCATCTAGCACTACTCATTCAGACAATCTCCATCTTCTTCAAAACTATAAATCAAGATGAGAAAAACATGAAGATATATATGAACTAAAATGGCAGCACCGGCAGAGAGAAAGAAAAACAGAGCAGCAATAGTTTTTCACGAAGAGACATTGTTTTAGATTGATCTTTCTTGGCATTCTCCCAGTACTTAGGACAACTCCTACGACTACAGGGGAACGACATAACAACGGCTCTAAGCCGTACATGTGGCAGAGCATCTCATGATCCAAAATATTGCAAATTACATAAACGAACTTCAAACTTGACAGCAAAAATAGAACCAAAGTATTAAGATGACGTATTCAATTGAAAATTTGAGAGATTTTAATAGATTTATAATTCTATAAAATTTTATGGAGTTTAATTGATTTGTAAATATTTCATGCAGAATTTTGATTCAATTCCCTTGAAATCTTATGGGCAGAGGTGTGATTTATAAATACTTAAAATACATTACAAAATCTCTCTAATTCTCTCGAATTACTCAACTTTTTCAAATTCTTTAAAATTAAGTTCTAATTGAGCATACTCAAAATGTTATAAACTGCTTTAAAATCCTAATTGAATACTCTTGAATTTTTAAGTATTTAAATTAATTATCTTAAAATCATGATTGAATACATTTTAAAATTTAGAGAATTACTTAAAATCCTAATTAAATACTCCTACATTCATTAAAAGAATTAAAATATCTCAAAATCTCATTTGAATACACTCCTTAAATTTAACACGATCATTCAGCAGCGAAGGCAAGCTGACAACCGATACAAAATCAAAGAAAAAAGACCCCGCCAGAACGTAGAGGCAAACAAAGGTTGAATATGAACGAAGCCACCATGGGAAGACGGTGAAGCGGATCAGCCCCTGAAAACCAAGAAGTGGGGGTTCTTTTAGTCTGGACGTGGATTCGATCATTCAGTGTCTCTTGGATGCCCGCATTTGCTTGATTGATCAACAAGTAACAGTTAGGGTTTCGAATTGAAACTCCGTAGGCATACTTGAGGTATGATTTACTTCTCGGGCATTTATCTGATTACGTTGTTCGACTGGATCATCCAAGAACTGTTGCGTGTTTCATGAGCTTTTCTTGATTTGGGTTTCTGGTAATGGTGCATAGAATTGTCGTTTCAGAATGCTTTGTATGTTCTGGTAATTAGGCCTTTTGTTTAGCTTCAATTATGTTTGACCTTAAGTATGAAAGAAGACGAAGAAAAAAACATATTCCAGAAGAAATCTGGTTTGAAATCCTTGCAAGATTACCTGTGAAATCTCTTTTACGGTTCAGATGTGTCTGCAAATCTTGGAACACTTTAATTAGCAGCCCTGGTTTCAAAACCGCCCATCTCGGAAAAAAATATAATGCGAGATTCATACGATTATCTTCTTATCCGCACTGCAAATTATCGCTTTTCGCTCTACTGTCGGGATACAGTTGCCAAGTGTTTGGATTTAGAGCTTCCGGAGCAGGAGAATATAAGTTTACGCATTAATGGTTGTTGCAATGGATTGCTTTGCCTCTCTAAGCATTTAGGTCGGTGTTTGAGGAATCCTATATATCTATGGAACCCATCAATCAGAAAATTCAAGAGGCTACCGAAAGGCCTTATTCAGCACACAATCCGTTTCGATGCAACTGGATTTGGGTTTCACAGTGGCGAAAATGACTATAAGGTTGTGAGGATTGTGAGGTTTCTGGGGAAGAAATGTATCTTCGAAGTTGAGGTTTACAGCGTTAGATTGGATGCCTGGAAACGAATTAGCGCAGTTCCTCCTCTTTCACCTAATGTCTCGTCTTTCAACACTAACGCATTTGCATACATTGATGGTGTTGTGTACTGGATTGTATTTGACCATTCTCAGCAGCGCTCTTCCATCCTTTCTTTTGATTTCGTCGGTGAGGTTTTTCAAAAGATTGTGCTTCCTGATAAGATGGGCAAAGGCATAGAGTTTTTTCACACCAGTATTGGCGTGTTTGAGAGATTAGTTTCTATGTTCCATTACAGACAAGATGGGAAGGATTACTACTGTGACATATGGGTTCTGGAAATGGAGACTTGGAAAATGATCCGCACGATTATTTTTCCAGAACGTGGATGGATAACGTGGCCATTGGGTTTTAGAGCAACTGGTGGAGTTCATATGGTTATGCTAGGTGGAGATTTCGTTTTGTATGGTCCTGAACCACGCCAACTCAACCCCCTTGGAATTAAACTTCATGATGGGTACGTCAATGCTTATAGTGAGAGTCTGATTCTTCTCGATTGAATTCTGATTTCTGTGTCGTGAATTCTGTTTTCGGGTGTTGTAAGTTGTGACGTGCCTTCGGAAGAATCTGTTTTGACACTCTTTTTTCGTAGACTGTCTCTGTTGTGATATAATCCAGGGGATTCATAGTAGTATAACTTTTACTTGTCTAATTGTGAAGCAATAAAATACAGTGCATAACGAACTGTTGCTTGTATGTTCCTTCTATGGTTTGAAGTAAGGCTTCTCAAAATTGTTTTGTTCTTTTTACTTTACTAAGGCCGCCCAAGATACGAATTTATCTTATCCTACCCAAGTACACGACATTCCGTTGGGTTTTTAGTGCACGGTGGACAATATTTATCGGGTACATTCAATATAATTTTAATTTTGTGAGCTAGTTTAGAAATATTCCTTTTTTTTTTTTTTTTTTATAAATAGGTCCAAGAACTACTTTTTGTTAAGTTTGTGATAACATTTAAAATTCTAAAGAATGTAATATCCTAAATCATAAGGATAAAATCCCATCAACTATGTTGTATTCAGTCTTTTTACTTATTTAATATACCTGTATTACAAAAAAAATTTGTCGACAATTTAACTATATTACAGATAAAATGTTTTTAGCTACCTATATTATAGATATTTTTTTACTTGTAATATACCTCTTCAAAATTAGTTGTATCTATCTTAAATATGTTTCACTTGAAATTTTTTATAGTATTCTTATGATATAGGTATTTTACAATTGGACCCCATTTAAAATATAGGTTGAATTTAAACCTAAATCTAACATTGCTAATAGTATTGAAAACCTTAAGCTTATAACTTTTTTTTTATTATTATAAACATCTTTCTACTGTAAATGCTACACTACGGAGAGGACGAGGAAGAACGTAGATGGTTTGAACTTTAGTTATAGTGAGATTAAATTATCACGTTTATATCTTTTTGTTTAATTTGTTTCGGTTTGGAACTTGTGTATTGACTTTGTTCCTCTCTACGTTGCATCATCTCTTGCTTTGCGTTTCTTCCTGGACATTTCTCTTAAATGAAGTTCGAACTTTCTTTGGATTGCTGACATTGTGAAGGTGTATTTCAGTCAGCAACATAAACTCACGATTTTGAAGTTAAACTATGGTTTGTAATTTTAAATTATTACTCCTTTTAGCCCCATAAACTCCTGAGTGAAAAGAAAAAAAGAAAGGAAAATATTCAATGTGAAGTGTAGATTGCTAAAAATGGAACGCGATTTACGTAATATAATAATAATCATAAGTATTTTTTTTTTGTCACTAATGCAAGGTACAATTATGACTAAAACATATTACTAAGTACTATTAATGTATCAACAAGACAATCATTTTTATAAAAAAAAAAAATTAACTAATGATTACACAACACCAAACCGAATTAAAATTTTGCTAATGAAGCGTTCAAGATAGTCTACCAAACATATGCACGCATACATAATATGACTTGGAACCAAAGTCAAAATTAGACTTCTGTTGAGTAAAATTAGACTCTCAATATAGACATCAACATAGGCTAAGTACTTGCAATTCAACCCGATTCCAGTAACCCTAATTTCGATAGACTTGGGATCAAATAAAACCAATTCTGGGTGATCTGGATTGTCGCCTTTTATAGCCAAATGAAGTCTGCCATCTGCTTCCATCCCTAATGGCCATGCTAATTTAGAGTATGGAAAAATAATTGTCTGCATCATTTTCCAAGTATTCACTTCCAAAACGCTTATGTCACAGTACAAGCCAAGCCTGTCTGTTCTTACTTGGAATAAGGAGACTGAGTTCTCAACCACTTGAATACCGACGTCAGTGGGCACTTCGACCGTTGTCTCGGGAAGCAGAATCTTTTGAAAAACCTCGCTGCCGAGATCAAAAGTAAGGATGGAAGGGCTATGTTGAGATGGCTCCTTTGTGATCCAATAGACAACTCCGTTCAGGAAAACGCACGCAGACTGCAAAAAATTGACATCATTTGAAACAGGAGGCACCGTGGTAATTGTCCTCCAACAATTCAGTCTAATATTGTAAACCTCAATCCCAAAGATACTTTTGTTGCATAGAAATCTCGCAACCCTCACAACCCTATAGTTGTCAACCTCACTATGAAACCCAAACCCTAGATGAACGAAAACAGTTGTATGTTGAAGGCTATTGGGAAGTCTTTTCAAATTTCTGATTGATGGGTTCCATAGATATACCGGACTCTCCAAGGTCATAAATGCAGAATTAGAGATGCAAACCAATCCATTGCACGAACCGTGAACGACGAAACCAAAATCATGACCAGGAAGCTCTAAATCCAAATGCTTGGAAAATGTTTCAGCATCAAAGAGTGACAAGCAATTGCTCATGTCAGTGTGGATGAGTAGATGATTACAAAAATTTTGCACGACATTACTTTTAAGATGGGCGTTTATGAAACTAGGGCTGATAATTAAATTGTTCCAAGATTTGTAAACGCATCTGAACCGCAAAAGAGATTTCACGGGTAATCTTGCAAGTATGTCAACAAGATTTCTTCCGTTAAACTGGATCTCATCAACAAAGGTTGAGCATCTCTTCTCTGCCTTTTTACATTCTTACGGGTAGACATGATGAAAACTCAAATGAATATTCAAGGAATTCAAAGAAGCAAATTCCAAGATTACAATTCTGGATATCGTAAGCACAAACAAATCCAGCTCACCAAAACGCAACATAAACAGATCGATATCCAAGATGTAGAAGCATACCTGATTCAATTATTCCAACATTTGAACCCAAACAAATGCGTAAATCAAAGATCCCTAAAACCATTCCTTAGCTTCATTTGAAATTCGCTGCAAATCAAAGAGAAAGGTTCGTCCTTTGTATCGGGTTTTTGTTCTCAGAGCCGAAAGGGTTTGTTGTTCTAATGGTGATGGTGGCTTCGGCTGGATCTAGAGTTTTTATTTATTTTATTTATTTATTTTTATATAGAGTTTGAGTTCTAGGGTTTTCTTTTCTTTATATACCCTGGTGTGCAGTAGCTAGCTGCTATTTTTCATTTACTTCATTCTTTCACTGTGTCCGTATTTGTACTTAGCTAAAAAGAAAAATTATTACCATTAGAGAGAGGTGAAAAATTTATTTTCTTTTAGTGGAAAGTTCCATGTCTAAGCGCAGTGTAAGAGGAAAATGTTGAAGTGATTCTATGGAGAAAAATCTGTGCAAGAAGCAGATTTCCGTGGAGGGGCAAGAGTTCTAAAAGTAAGCATTTAAAGGAGAAGGAAATGGTGAAACTGAAAAATAGTTGTTTAATGTTTTTCAATTTTTTTTTTTAGTGAATGATATTAATGCGAGGGAGATTTAAATTTGGAACCTTGGAAATTTGAAAATACCCTTTAAAAATCTAAACCAATGGGCTGTTAATTTTCATATTTATGACAACTTTTGAAAGTTAGTTTTAGAAAGCATTACCAAACATGCACGTACGTGAACTATGACTGCGAAAACGGGTACGTTGATGGTAATGGTGAGTCAGGTATAAATGTTTTTGTTCTAACTTTCATTATATTTTAATTATTTGAAGAAAAAAATTGTAGAGTTGTACCTATAATGGAGTATATAACTCCGCCTATGTCTTACATGGCCGGTCCCAAGCCCGGATAAAGGAGGAGGGGGAGGGCGTCAGGTAGTCGACAGCCGGCACTCCATGATCACGTCGAATCCTTATGAAAATGAATCCAGAACAAAATCGCGCTAAAGCTAGGGCGTCACCCGTAAGTGGCGCGCTGTGTGGCCTGAGCACAGTGATAAGTGAGCAAGGGTCGCTGTATCTTCATCGGCACCCGGATGCAGTGTTAAATGAGCAAGGGGGCCATAGAAACTTCTTTTCGAACGACTCCACTCAAAGTTGTTTGGGAGCATATGCTCCTATCAACTTTACCCGGGACACACAAAAGAAGTACTTTGATCCTATTAGACGGGGGAGGGTGAAGAAGCTAGGACAGAAGGGTAGAGTTCAAGAGAGCAAAATGCGTTTAGGAACGTGGAATATAGGAACCTTAACGGGAAAATCTATGGAAGTAGTGGAAGTTATGGTGAGGAGAAGGATAAATATTATGTGCCTACAAGAAACTAAGTGGGTTGGTAGTAAGGCAAAGGATCTAGAAAACTCAGGGTTTAAACTTTGGTATTCGGGCACAAATAGAACGAGAAACGGTGTTGGCATCATCGTGGACAAGACCTTGGTACAAGATGTTGTAGATGTCAAGAGGGTAGGAGATAGAATCATGGCAATCAAGATTGTAATAGGACAAGAACTTATCAATGTGATTAGTGCGTACGCACCTCAAGTAGGGTTGGATACGAGTTCGAAGGAGAAATTTTGGGAAGATCTTGGAGACTTGGTGCAAGGAATTGCTCAGACGGAGAAGTTATTTATAGGAGGAGATTTAAATGGACACGTGGGCAGGGAGACAGGCAACTATGGAGGTTTTCATGGTGGCCATGGTTTTGGGGAGAGAAACGAGGATGGGGAAGCTATCTTGGATTTTGCAATGGCATATGATCTCTTCTTAGCCAACACCTTCTTTAAGAAGAGAGAAGAACATGTGATCACCTACAAGAGTGGGTCGTCAAAAACACAAATAGATTTTCTTCTAATGAGGAAAGGGGATCGTATAACTTGTAAGGATTGCAAAGTTATACCAGGAGAGAGCGTGGCTAATCAACATCGCTTGTTGGTGATGGATGTACATATCAAAAGAGTAAGACAAAAGAACAAGACTTGGAAGTGCCCAAGGACTAGATGGTGGAATCTAAAAGAAGAAAAACAAGCCATTTTCAAAGAGAAGGTAATCACCCAATGTGTGTGTGGGATAGAGAGGGGGAAGCTAGCCAAATGTGGGATTCCATGGCTAGTTGTATCCGAAAAGTAGCAAAAGAGGTATTAGGAGAGTCCAAGGGCTTTGCCCCACACCAAAAGGAATCTTGGTGGTGGAATGAGGAGGTACAAACAAAGGTGAAGGCTAAGAAGGAATGTTGTAAAGCCTTATACAAGGAGAGGACTGATGAAAATGGTGAAAGGTATAGAAAAGCGAAGCAAGAGGCGAAGAAAGCTGTCAGAGAAGCTAAGTTAGCGGCTTACGACGATATGTATAAACGACTAGATACCAAAGAAGGAGAGTTGGATATCTATAAACTATCTAGAGCAAGGGAAAAGAAGACAAGGGACCTAAAACCAAGTGAGGTGCATCAAGGATGAGGATGGAAAGGTTCTTGCTACAGAGAACGCGGTTAAAGACAGATGGAGAGGTTATTTTCATAATCTTTTCAATGAAGGACATGAAATGAGTGCTTCTTTAGGGGAGTTGAGTAACTCAGAAGAGTGTAGAAACTACTCTTTTTATCGTCGAATCCGGAAGGAAGAAGTGGTTGTAGCTTTGAAGAAGATGAAGCATAAAAAAGCAATAGGCCCAGACGATATATACCAATCGAAGTGTGGAAACTTTTGGGAGAGACAGGTATAACATGGCTCACTGACCTTTTCAATAGGATTTTGAAAACGAAGAAGATGCCAAATGAGTGGCGAATGAGCACTTTGGTGCCTATCTACAAGAATAAGGGCAACGTACAAAATTGCATGAACTATAGGGGTATTAAGCTAATGAGTCATACAATGAAGCTCTGGGAGAGAGTCATTGAGCATAGATTGAGGCAAGAGACACGGGTTTCGGACAACCAATTCGGGTTCATGCCAGGGCGCTCAACCATGGAGGCAATCTATCTCTTACGAAGATTGATGGAAAGATATAGAGATGGGAAAAAGGATTTACAAAAGCTTCAACATACAAGCTTTAACAAAAGAAAATTCAAAGAACTTAGCGAAGAAGGCTTTGGTGTATTTAACACAATACGTTGAAATGAAGGAAAGCTTATTTATTGATATCCCCGATAAGCTACAAATATGTACATATACATGAGTCAAAATAAGCACACAAGAGGGAGCCTTCACAAAGGTTGCTTAGGAGAAGTCTCAGCAGTCGGTAGAGCCCCAGAAAGAGAAGGCACCGGAGGGGGATCATTTAGAGCCTCAGTACTGGACAGAACCCTAGAAGGAGGAGGCATCAGAGGTTGATCATTTGGAGCTTCATTACGCGGTACAGCCCCAGAAGACGAAGGCAATAAATGCCTTTGGAACAAACCCACAAATCTCTGATGATCAAGTAAAACCTGACCATCAGTTTCCTTCATCTGGTCAAGCTTCCTCTTCATGTTTGTAGCATAGTCATGTGCGAGCCGGTGCAACTGTTTATTCTCATGCTTGAGCCCTCTAATCTCCTGTTTGAGACTCATCACTTCAGCCGCCAATGATTCAACTTGGCGGGTTCGAGAAAATAGGCGTTGGGCCATATTAGACACAGAACCTGCACACTGAACACTGAGAGCCAGCGAATCCTTAACAGCTAACTCATCAGACCGTTTGGAAAGTAGTCTGTTATCTTTGGGAGTGAGAAGGTTCCTGGCCACCACCGCAGCGGTCATATCATTCTTCATCACGGAATCCCCAACGGTAAGAGGACCAGTAGGGGAGACGAAGGATGGGCGCCATATGTTGTCTGGAGAAGGCGGGGCTGCCTCTTCAACAAGGTTCAAGTCAAAACGACGGTCGGAGGGGCCAGACATTTTCAAAGGTGTTGAAGAGAGAAGAGGTCGGACAAATCAAGATCTTAGAAGTGCAAGAATGAAGCTTCTACTGGTGGAGATTCAAGTGTGCTTTGGAACTTAATGCCAGCCCCTATAAAAATCTGCACTCGACGAAGCTTCAGAAATCGAAGAGGCGCCTGCTCAGAAATCGAAGAGGCGTTTGCTTTCTCAAAAGCTGGGCTGCTTAGAGATCACGAGGGTTGATCTCAGAAATCGAAGAGGCGTTTGCTTTCTCAAAAGTTGGGCTGCTCAAATACCACGAAGGCCGATCTCAAAAATCGAAGAGGCGCTCGCTTTCTCAAAAGCTGGGCTCCCTAGAGACCACGAGGGCCGATCTTAGAAATCGAAGATGCACCTACTTTTCCAGCCTTTTCCAGCCTTGTCAGCACCTGTCACACGCACACTCAGTTTTGCGGAAATTATGGGCATTCTGTCAAAGACTTCTGGGGAAGTAGAAAACACATGAATCTTACTGTTCAATCACCCACTTCCCATACGCAACAATAGCTCATGGGTACCACAAATAACTTTGCCAAAGTTCTCTGCCAAAGTTGAGCACGTGAAGCTTGCAGCTCCCACTACATCGCTCTGACCAAGAAGGGTAAAAGAATAGCAAAGAAACAGCACTAACAAAGTTTAGACCCATAAATTTTGAAGGTCTAGCTACCATATTATTACCCAC